TATGTATATAAACAAAATCAGTGTTTGAAATTATTAGCAATAACAATTTTTGCAAGTTCAAATATTGATTTCGTCTATACATAGAATTATAAAAAATTCTAACACAACATAACTTGAACTGATGAAAATCATCGTCAAGTCTGAATCATCGATATCAGCTTAAACGTTAGTTTTGAGGCACAGATATTTACGAAAACAGCGCGGGAGTCTTTGTTTCACGACGAAATACATATAAATTTGGTGTAGAAAAGCAAGTTCGAAGATCGTGATTTGCCAAATGAGGATCGAGTCTCGAAAGAAGTCCGCTCGCGACGAGGAGAACGAGTTTATGTAACGGGCTGTCGTTCATCACAACTTAGGCTCTATTATTAGCCGGCCAATTTTCTAATGGCTCCGATCTGCCTGATTTGATGACGATCCAAGAATAAGCCACGTCGCCGCGCCTACTCCAAACAACCACGAATTTCTCTTTTTTTTTTTTTTTTTTTTTTTTACCAATTTACCTGTGAATCGACGGGGCCCTGAGCGAAATTGTTGGCTTTCACTTTCGATCCAATAGCCGGTCTATCGTCGACAGACGTTGAATTGAATTCTTTCCCGATCGTATTAATTGTACTCTCTGCGCAGAGATTACAACTGTCATAGTGTACGTAACTCGAGATTCTATAATTGTGTCTCCAGTGCAATTTAGTTTACGAATATTATATTATGCAAAATGATTTTATAATCACCTTCTGGTATAATTTATTTTCCCTTGTAGTATTCTTTATGCAAAAACAGTGGAAAATGTTCCGTATTTGATATTCGTAAAGATTGCTGGTAATAAATTTTAGAATGCATTCGCGAGTGTGCAAACACTCTGGTTAATGAAGAATCTGGGGTTCAAGCCAATTAATGAAAATAAACGTTTTCGGATTCGACGGGCTGCCGTATTTTTGGAAACGGACCTTGAATGCACGTTGATTTAAACTTTCTCTTACCCGCCTCTCGTATCTTAAAAGTTACGGCGAAACAATCTCCAACAAGCAGATACTCTTTTTCACTAAAAGGAATTCTAAGTTACGCAAAAGTTGGAGAAATCCTTGAAAATTGATTCTCTGACGAGTCGACTCGTCATTGCCAGTTCAAAGAACTGATCGTCTGAGGAATGCTAGTTTCATCTTCCCTGGCGAGACGTTGCGTGCGAAGAAACACGTATCATTTATTAGAGCTGTCATTACAGGAGTTTCATAAATAATTGTACAGTCCATTATTATTTTCCAACCTATCATTATGACTGATTTCATACTTTCGTTTTTGACAATTGCTTGAAACATACGGATAATATCCTTGTCAAAGTTAATATCAATTTCTGCCTCTTGAATAGAAAATTACAATCGTACAAATCTATTCGTTTTAATTATTATTCAACTTGTAATTGAAATTTCCAAATATTTTCATGCGATTGATTCCACCTGATTGTTATCAGATGAACATTTTTGGATCAACCAAAGTCAAGTATGCTCGCGTAAGGGTGTCAAAGTATTTAATCACGCTAAGACGGCAGAAATGTCGAAATCTTGTACACTACTTTCAAACAATGCATCATCGTTACCAACAACGGTTCGTTTCTGTTGCGTAACGCATCGCGGTCGATGAATAGCGCACGCCTTCATCGATAATTATACCCGACATCGATGTCCAACCGCTGTGCACCTAGTACTGTTCACCGGTGTAAGGATGATTCATTGGATATCCGATAATCGCGTCCACGTAGACCGAGGGATTAATCAGTGGCTTGCACAAGGATGTTCAAGATTCGCGCTCTTTGGCTCGCCGGCTTGTAAATGAATCATTAAGCAAGCTGCGCCGAGAGATAGAATGATGATTCGATCATTTTGCAACGATGTAGAAAACAGTGATAGTCAAGGTAACTGGTAATGATCTGCAGAGAGAGAGAGAAAGAATAAACAGTTCGATAAATGATCGATGATGGATCAATCAACTCATCAAAAGAAAAGGTACAAAAATGATAAGTCTTCAGGAAGATAGTCCTTGTCTTAACAATTATAATTATAATTCCGTTGACAATTACACTTCTTTAAAATTTTAGAAACTCGTAGAAATCCGCAGTCTATAGAAATGTATTAGAAGCTTTCAGTTAACAGTATATTAATAATGAAACATATACCCAATAGGAACCCATTAAAATCTCGGTCAAAGGGAAGAGTGATAAATCAGTCAGTCGTCGCATTAGATCGACGTTTTACCCAGGAACATCTCTCGATCGTGTGTTCGATTCCAGTCGCCGAGTACGACAACGTTGACAGCCACCGACACTTTATGGGGATATAATTTTCACGTGTCCAGAGGCACCCACGTCGTGGGACGCACGGGGTGAGCCATAAAATGGCACCATTTATCATCGTCCTACGGTCAGACGAGTACGCGATTGCGTTTATTCTCATGTAGATCCGTGTCAACGTAGGTGGCCAAGGCTCGCGACAGGGTTCGTTCAACCCGGTTTTCATCCGGGCCGCTTCTCCAGACGCGAAACCACCGGGGGTTGCTAAATCATTTCCCCTATCCGGTAGGCACTTCTCCGCTCTTCGTAGCGCGCGTGTTCGCTTCGGTAACCGAAAAGGGACAGGCGAAGTGAGTATAATCGAGGAGAGTCGCCTACGATACGCTCTGCTTGGATTTTACGTCGAGAGATTTTTGCTGTATTTCG